AAAGAACTAAGATCCACCCAATGTGGCTGCGGGTTCGATCCCCGGGCAGGACACATACAAGAGTCAATCGATGGAGGGGCGAGGGGATAAGGACACATAGGCAATACCTTAATCAATAAAGAAAAAAGAATCAACCAATGAATGCATACGTAAGTGGAACAACAAATCCATATTTCTATCTAAAATCAATCAATCAATAAACAAAATCTACACAATTTGATTTCCAGGGACCAAATAGGACCCACTGCATGGCTTTAAACAGACTGCCTCCAGATTTAATAAAACAACCTAGAAACTAGCTACACAGATTAAAGACTTTCTTGTAAATATTCTTACATCACAAAACTACTTAAAAACATAAAAATACCTTCCAAGGTAAAGAAGTGCAAACAAAATAAATTTTGAACAAACGAAAAATTGTTCTGCCTGTGAATATTAATTTGAGAATTAAGTTTTGAGAAACAGAACACCATAGTCTCGAGAAGTACTAAGTTAAAATTTTGCTGACTGATAAAAACGTTCCTTACTCAGAAAATCAATGTTTATTATTTTGGTGTCATAAGACTTTTCAAATAGCATATCTTTTATTACCCTCACACTTTTTTGAGAGAGAGAGAGGAAGGGAAAGAAAGAGCTGAGAAACACCGATAAGCTGCCTCCTGTATGAGCCCCGATCAGGAATCAACCTGGCAACCTTTTGGTGTACAGATGATGATCCAACCAACTGAGCCATCCGACCAGGTGAGGGATTGAGCCTGCAACCGAGATACAGGCCCTTGACTGGAATTGAACCCAGGACCCTTCATTCCTCAGGCCAACACTCTATCCACTGAGCCAAACCAGCTAGGGCCATACTGTAGGTTAAAAAAAAAAGTATGCCTTGCCGGTGTGGCTCAGTTGGTTGGAGCATCATCCTGTACACCAAAAAAGGCTGCAGGTTCAATTCCCAGTCAGGGTACAATACCTAGGTTTCGGGTTCGATCCACGGTCAGGGTGTGTATGGGAAGACAACTAACTGATCAGTGTTTTTCTGTCTGTCTCTCTCTCTCTCTAAAATTTAGTAAGCATGTCTTCAGGTGATTAAAAAAAAAGTATTAAATTTTCATTTTCCCAGAAAGCTACTGAGCTTTGGTAAGCTGACTGTTTCCCAGCACTGACCACCCACAGTGCTGACGGCACATATGAACCCGCGTGGGCTTGCTCAGGCAGCTCCCCCATCTCGCCAGCTGCTCTTTAAGAACGCACGCATGGCCGAAACCGGTTTGGCTCAGTGGATAGAGCGTCGGCCTGCGGACTGAAAGGTCCCAGGTTCGATTCCGGTCAAGGGCATGTACCTGGGTTGTGGGCACATCCCCGGTGGGGGATGTGCAGGAGGCGGCTGATCGATGTTTCTCGCTCATCGATTTTTTTGACTATCTCTCTCCCTTCCTTTCTGTAAAAAATCAATATATTTAAAAAAAAAAAAAAAAGAACGCACTCATGTTTCACGGAACTGTGCAACGACTTCAGGGAGAGTCCGTGGTCGTTCCTCCGTCAACTGCACTCACTTTCCCTGCTAAAGTTTGACGCAGGAATGAAAGATGAAGCCA